TCGGCCTCCAGCTTTTCGAAGAGTTCCTTGGTTTCGAGCCGTTTCTCCCTCGCAGGGTCGTGAATGGGCTCGGGCTTTGGCCGGGCAGCGATCTGGGCAGTGATAGCCACTATATTGGTCATCGAGCGGGGCTTCTTTCTCTTCGGCTCCTTGATCCGCTCCATCTTTGGAGGTGTCTTTGCATTGACGCTTTCGAGTCATTTGAATAGGTTTCGAAGCGGTCACCGAAACCCAAGCGAAACGCTTGGACCCGGAGAAAACCCGGACAACAACTTCCCGGAGACAACCCGGAGAAAATAGCATTCTAAACGCAGTAGGAAGACACATTCTGTTTTGTATCACGTTCTTTGTTTATTATCGACGATCGATGGAGCCATCGACCTTGTCCAGTGGACCCTGTCCATTTTTCGATCGATACACATCAGGTGTATATACTATGTAGTACGCCACAACTAACTGGACAACCGAGTGATAAAAACTCGATGCGTTCGAGTCGCTCGTGACTAGGGTTAGTGGCTAGTATACACTGTATTAGACACTGTAATGGTGGAATATGCAACGTGAGCGTTCAAGGAGCGTTCTGCCATCCCATCTGGTGTCGTGTGCAGCGCGACCAGCCTGCCGCGTTCATGAAGGTGCTGGGACGACGCCCTCAATTGTGATCAAGTCGACACGCCTCATGACCGATATTGCAGCTCGTCGACTTTCTGGAGCGAAAGTGTGCTAGCTCATCACTATTACGACAGCCGCCACCCAAGAGAACACAAGTCCGGCGTTGTGCAGTCGGCGCGTCACGACGACGTGGGACGACGAGGGTGGGACGACGACGCGCCCGACTGTCGCGCGTCAGAGACGTCCGCCGCATTACCATTACTATCGATTCTTCCATCGTACGCGGATCATGACCTGCCCAAGCAGCGTGCTGCGCCCGCTCGTCGCGCTCGCCACCGACTCGGAGAACGCTCTGGTCTGTCGCGCGCAGTCGCTCGCTGCCTTTTACGACGTTCTTGTCGCTCGCAACGCGACGCTCCCCGCGTCCTTTGAATCCAACGCGGCTTGCGCTGCGGTGTACACGTCGCTACAGGCGCTTGCGCGCAATACGACACCCGACTGCGTCTGGAACGCCACCAACTCGTCGCTCTCGGCGCTGAGCGCAACGCCGTGGCGTGCCATGCTGCTCTCGCTGCCTGCGATGGTCACGTCCAGCGTCGAGGCGGCCGCTACGACTGCCGAGAGCGGCAGCAGCCACGCTGTAATTGTCGTCGTCGTCGCCGCGATCGTCTTGGGTCTTGCCGCTGCCGTGTTTGTCAAGACGGCCACGCGCCGCCTCGCTGCCGAGCTCTACGTGCAAAGCTTGGAGACCAAAGTTGCCGCGCCGGACGTCCTCAACGACGACGACGACAATGAATGGACGTGGACGGGGGACCGCGTGCCCGGGGAAGTGTCCGTCTAGTTGTAAGTGTTGCGTTGTCTGGTGAATGCCAGACATCATGTCGTTCGTAATTTGTATATAAGAAGAAAGTGTGCACAACATGTCATTTCTGAAACGGCGTGGAACGGCCGCGATAAACCATGGATCCCGACGACGCCGACTCGACCTCGTACTCGATTGCGGTCGCACCACTCGACGACAGCATCGTCGCCGACTCCCCTCGTTGCGGTGACGACGAGCCCCACGACATGGATGGCGCAGAGAAGCCGACGCTTCTGGACCCTATCTCGCTGGACGGGCCAGATCTGACACCAGATCTGACACTCGACGCACCAGAATCCTTGTCACCACTCTCGACAAGCTCGTACCACATCACGACGATGTCGCCAAACGAGAGCATTGCCGGCCACAGCCGAGTCTCCTTCCAGCTACAGCAAGCGCTCGAGGTCCTCCTCGCCCAGCTCTCGGTCACGAGCCTTGGACCTGTGGTGCTCTGGCGCTGGGGCCACCTCAAGCTGTCCCAGCACTTGTACTTTGTATGCATTCAAGTCAGCTACTCGGAGAACGATCCGCCAGTCGCCATGGTGCCGTGGCAGTCCCTCGACGCCCTTCTCAACGTCAGCACCTCATCGTGATTGCATGACAACTCATCTCCCGTTGTGGTAGACAACGACTCGGTTTCAGCTCGACCCGGTGTCGATGCGCATCCGGTTTCGGCTCGGCGTGGCCACGTTGCTGCCAAGTACCGACGAGAGCGACGTCTTGTTCTCGCCATGGGATGTCGTGGCCCGACGTTCCGGCCTTCCACCGCCCACTGTCGAAAGCGACGCCTCGTCTGCGACCTTTTCATGGCCGACATGGCCCATCGAGCTCTTGCATTGCGCTACATTGCAGCTTGAACGGTACATCGATGACGACGACTGGCGCCTGGAGTACACGGGCGTTGTCGGTCCAGTGCATGTGATGGATTTGCCGCCGCAGTCGCGCCTCGCCTTCCGGGTTCGCCTTGCACACTGTGATAGAGTCCTCGGCACCGCGCTGCTCGGCGAAATCGCAGAGATAAACGACTGGACGCTTCTCTCCATCGTGACAGCACCAGCCGCAATCTCGGTCTGGGGCGTCCAGCAGCACTGGTGGCTCCACGCTGCGTGCAACGGCGCTCTCGCATCGGCAGGTGCTTGGACGGTGGTTGTCAGTGGCGGTGACGAGACCATGCAGCAGCCCCTCCGCTGCTTCAAAACACCACACAGGCTACTGCAACTGCGACCCGACACAGAGTACGATGTCCGCATCCAAGTGCAGAGCGGTTGCTCCGTGGCCACGTCGCCTGCCGAGCGCATACGCACGTCGCTCTCTCTGCATCTCGACACCATTGTGTCGAATGCACCAACCACGCAGCTGCTTTGGTCGACGCCACCGTATTGGCTCGCCGCGTCTTCTATACTTGTTGAGTTGCAAGTGTACACCGCCAGCGATACGTGGGCCGTCAGTGACGCGCCGCCAAAACATGACAACGCCGCGTCATCGACGGTCGTTGACGTGGCCCCGCGAGAGCTGCTCGACGTGTACCGCTTGAATCTGCGCGCAGGAACGGCTGATTTAACATCGTCCTTACCGGTCGTCGTTGTCCAAGCCATCCCGCTTCGCCTGTACGGCATGGGGTGCCACCTTCGACTCGAGTGGAGCTGGGCTCTTCCGCCGCACCTGGCCGAGTACACGGCGCGCTTTCAAGTGTGGTTGTCCCGAGATCGTTCGCCGCTGGTGCGCCTCGAGCCAGCGCCCACCCTGGTTCATGTGGCCGACAGCAACCTGTTCGTCACCGACGTGGTGCTCGCGCGGGCGACAACCTACACGTGCGCGGTCGTCGCGGAGATTGATCATCAGTTCACTTCCCCGGTCGCGCCCGTCTCGTATTCAACCGCCTGGCCTCTCTGTACACTCGACATCGCC